AGAAAAAGCCATAAGTGGTGCTGTGGCTTAAGGGGTAGAGCGCTCTCTTTGAGCTGAAGAGCTGAGGGACGGTGCCCAGGTCCAGAGTTCAAGCCGCATGACTGACCAAAAAATAAAAAGAACTTGGAGGCTCAGGGGTGGTAGCCGTGCCCTCGGCTTACAGCCCCTGGCAGCCCCAGCGGGGAAGGGAACATACCTTGTCCATATGGAAGATCAAGTCCAACTCACACACATTTTCAAAACACTTATCCAAAGTCTCCACAAAAACCTAGGCAGGAGGAGACAGGAGGAGACGTCAGCACATGTGATAGTAGAAGAGCCCCGGTCTCATGCCTGGACACAGCGTCCATCCTGGAGGCTGGGGTGGGACACTGCCTGGCACCCGGGGCAAGGCCAGACGAGGCAAGGCCAGGGGCCAGTCACCACACTCCGCACCGACCATCACTCCGGGCCTCACCCCGCCTGCCGCCATCAGTCACCCATCCTCCCACCGCCCCAAATTCACCTAAGGCAGGAAAAGCTTGTGTTCGTGTTGGCAACACAACCAGCACGCTCACGCGGCCTCCTTCCCTCCATGAGATGCGAATCTGCATAAAGTAACTGGGCACCAACTACTTCTACGAACGCCAGTCCTTTCCCCCGGCCTCAACGGAACGTGGTACAGAACACATTTCCATTACAGTTTCAACAGCGTAGTCTGCTGATTTCAGTGGACTTTAACTTCAAGACATCTTACCGTGAACCAGCTTAACTTCTGCCTCCCACATAGGTACACCTTAACTTTTTTTTTTTTCCAGTTCTGAGGCTTGAACTCAGGGCCTGCGTACTGTCCCTGAGTTTTTGTGCTCAAAGCTAATGCTCTATCATTTGAGCCATAGCTCCACTTCTGGCTTTTTTGATGATTACTTAGAGTTCACAGACTTTCCTGCCCTGGGCTGGCTTCAAACCACCATCCTCAGGTCTAGCCTCCTGAGTAGCTAGGATGACAGACCTGAGCCACAGGCACCCAGCTCTCTTTCTTCTTTCTTATCATTTTCCTTTCTTCACTAGTGACCATTTCTTCTATATTACTTGTCATTGTTTGTTCCTTTTGTCTGGTTCCTCAATTCACAGATTTTTCTCAGATACCTGAAAACCCTTGTTTTCGTTAATAAAAAGCCTAGCTAGCCAGGCGCCAGTGGCTCATGCCTGTAATCCTAACTACTCAGGAGGCTGAGATCTGAGGATCTGGGTTCAAAGCCAGCCCAGGCAGGAAAGTCCGTGAGACTCTTGGCGGTAGAGTGTTCCCCTTGAGCTGAAGAGCTGAGGGACAGCGCCCAAGCCCAGAGTTCAAGCCCCACGACCGACAAAAAAAAAAGGCCTAGCTAGGTGCCAGTGGCTCATGCCTGTAATACTAGCTACTCGGGAGGCTGAGGTATGAGAATCACAGTTCAAAGCCAGCTTTGGTAGGAAAATTCATGAGACTCTTACCTCCAATTAATGCCAAAAAGTTAGAAGCGCAGCTGTGGCTCCAGAGACAGAGCTCCAGCCTTGAGTGAAAAAGATATGGGACAGAGCCCAGGCCCTGATGTGAAGCCCCAGACCAGAACCAGCACAAACAAAACAAACAAACAAAAAACTATGAAAAGCAAGCACAGTGCTAGCTAGGGCTGTCCAGATGCTTCCCTGGAGCGCCATCTGGTGGCCATCGGCAACCTTTACACACACACACACACACA